ACATGTTCTCACTCATAGGTGGGAATTGAACAATGAGAATACTTGGACACAGGAAGGGGAACATCACACACTGGGGCCTGTTGTGGGCTGGGGGGAGGGAGGAGGGATAGCATTAGGAGATATATCTAATGTAAATGACGAGTTAATGGGTGCAGCACACCAACATGGTACATGTATACATATGTTACAAACCTGCACATTGTGCACATGTACCCTAGAACTTAAAGTATAATAAAAAAGAAAAAAAAAAAAGAAAATTCTCCTTTGCATCAAATGTGGATTATTTGTAAATCCACTAGGGAATTGACAGTGGTTGGTGAAATGCTTTTAAAAACTGACATTATTGGCTGGGTGCAGTAGCTCACACCTGTAACCCCAGCACTTTAAGCAGCCAAGGTGGGCAGATCACCTGAGGTCAGGAGTTGGAGACAGCCTGGCCAACATGGTGAAACCTCGTCTGTACTAAAAATACAAAAATTAGCCGGGCATGGTGACACACATCCATAATCCCAGCTACTCAGGAGGCTGAGACAGAAGAATCACTTGAACCTGGGAGGTAGAGGCTGCAGTGAGCTGAGATCGCACCACCACACTCCAGCCTGAGAGACAAAGTGAGACTCGGTCTCAAAAAAAAAAAAAAAAAACTGTAATTATTTTTAAACCTAAATAAATATATATATCACCAATAAGCTTGGAGCACGTTATAGGTTTTTTTGAACAGTGGATACTCTCAGCACATAGCTCTAGGTAGAGGTGACTAGGGAAAATAATCATATCTCACTTTTCAGAGAGGAAAAACCATGGCCCATGGCCCAGTGGTGTCTGCTTCACACCAAGCTGAATTCCCTTACAATGAACATGTGGAGCAAGCAGAGCTGAAAACCAACCCAGGAGAATGTGTGTCTTTGAACGAAATCATCTCCAAATGCCCTGGGAAGTGCTTGCAGGCTTTGTTTGTGCTGCCCCAGAAGGGAGACCTTTCACAAAGGAACTGTTTTTCAAAGAACAACAAGGCCTGCTATTTTAAACTTGGGGGTGGGAGATTGTATCTGGACCGTTTACACAAGTGAGTGCTGGCTGACTGACATCTAACCCCAGTGTTTGCTGGCTCCAGCTTTCCAAGTAAAGCAAAGAGAGGGACTTGCTTCTCATACGTCTTGAAGCCACAGCAGATGAGTTGTCCAGCAATATTTGAATTTTACCACATGGGCAGAAAACCCTGCTTAGAAATCCTAAACAAGGACAGGCTGGTGATGTTTATCAACCAAGTGACCTTGGGAATTAAAGGGATGTCAGAAAACTATGCAGGACACTTCCCGAAGCTTCAGCACAGTCAGCAAACACAGGACTTAGTGCATGCTAACCCAGTGCTCTGTGTGCATGTGCATGCGTGTGTGTGCATATGCGTGTGTGTGTGTGTATCCCTATTATTGCTACAGGACAGTGTTGCATGATTCTAAGAGTCAGACTACCTGGGCTCAAAACCCTGCTCTACATTAGCTGGCCTCATAAGCTCTCCAAGCTGCAGCATCCTCATCTGTACAGCAGGGACAGCAACACTGGTACCTGCACACTGGTACCATCCCTGGTGGGATGGGCTGACACAGAGTGCCACGTGGGCCATTGCTGCTGCTAGGACTGTCTACCCCCAGAGGTACAATGAACCCCCCACCAAACATGAAGGTGCCTCTGACCCTTCCAAGTCCAATAAACTGCTGGGTGTTAGGCTTAAAAGACTAAAAACAACAACAAATTGTCCATCAGAACGCTTCCAGTGCTTTCTACAATAACATGAGTTCAGAAATTCAGAAAGAGAAGCTGCCAGCTGTGGTCAGTGAGACAGGACAGGAAAAAGTGAGCCCTTACGGAGGTATAGTTCCCCCAAAAGGACTATTCTTTTAAAAACACAACCCTAAATCTTTCCAGGAAACCAAAACACAGCCAAGCCTGCTCAGTAGGGGGGAAGAATCACATTTCCCCTTTCCTGACCAGAAGTTTAAAATTAACTAGAAACACTGCAATGACTGCCAGTAGCCAGTTGGCACTTTAAAAAAATTATAATTTTCCATGTTTAGAGTCTGAAAAATAGGGGATCGAAACAGCACAGCATTTAAAGAGGAGACAAAGGAGAAAGTTACCAGCTCCCTCTTGGGTCTTTCAAAGACCGCAGTGTCATCCCTGTAAAAGAGAGAGCAAGGTACTCACCTTTCTGTAAGAATGAACGACTCATCACCTTAAGCACTGAATTCTGAGAAAGCCTAGGTTCCTGAGCTCCCAGCCCAGGTTTCCTTACAACGCAGCCAAATGGCTTCGCAGAGTTCAGTTCTGCCGGGTGGGGGAAGGGAAAAAGGAGCAACAAAGTTCCTGCATGTCTTACCACCACTGTTTTAAAAAGAAATAAAGAAGAGTCACTAACCTTGCCTCCTGTCTGGGAAGCGAACCGGGCCTGGCTGAGGCTGTCTCCCATAGCAAAGCGCCCCAAAGTTAAGGAGCTGGGCCACCACGGAAAGGTTTGCAAGCCAGCTCCTCTGGGCACATGGCATGATTCAGTTGTTGGGGAGAAGAAAAGTCAGAAAAGTTTTAGCCCTCAGCTCCAGAAATCAAGTGCTCGCCTGTGGCCCAGCAGGAAGATGCAAGGGTGCATGGTTCGGGCGCGAGAAGGCAGCGACTGCAAAGCTGCCCGCGATCTCTCTGTGCTTTTTTAAGCAGAAAGGGGCTAGACACCTTTTTCCCCTCCCTCCTCCTGAAAGGGGAGTGATTCAGCTGACAGTGTCCGCTTTCGGTGGAGTGTGGAATGGTCCGGAGCGGGAGGGCGCAGTCCACCCGGGTCCCCACCCCTCCGCCTCCTGCATGCCCCTCGGCCTCGCAGCCCGCTTGGTGCATCTTCCTCCGGGACTCCCACCCCCGCGCGCTCCTCCGGCCCCGCCCCGAGCGCCGGGCCCAGCTGGCCGAGCCGGCCAAATAGGGGAGACCCGGGAGAGCCGCACTGGCCGCAGTCTAGGAAGCTGCGAGCGAGAGGCCCCCAAGCCACCCCCACCAGCGTGCTTAAATATACGCTCAAAATGATGAGAACAGAGTTGGGGCAGAGCGGGGCCCCACTCCCTCCATCCTTCCGCGATCAGCGCTGCCCCCTCCCATACTGTTCTCCTCCAAGTTCCTGAACTTTTCCCAACATCTCTCTATCAAGACTCCTCACCCACTCGGACCGCTCTGGGATTCTCTTCCACTGGAAAACCAATAGGCGATTTTTCTCTTTGCCAAGTCACACAAAGGGAAATGGACTGCGCTAATCTGCTAATGTGACCCTCATCTGTTCCACGAGGTGGCTGCAGCAAATGCCTGTGGGCCCCTCTGAGTCTGCCGGTCTCTATGTGGCTTTTCGGCTTTCAGAACCCCATCTTTCCTAGCCCATCTCCATTCACCAAAATGAAACCAGGAGAGTGGAGGAAGTAAGTCTGCCCAGAAAGGTGTTAAGGTATCTCCCCAGTTTCCCTGAACTGGCTGCCTTGGAGGGGGGCGTCCATTCATTCAGAGGCTCAAGCTTTTACGTCGGTGAGAGAATGCCACAATCCAGGACGCTTGCCAGGCATCTTGAGAATTTACTGGGCTAATCCAGCCAAGATTTTTCACCTCTGAGCTGAAACAGCCCTCCTTACTCCATTCAGGAAGAATTCGGCCCCAATATTGAGTTTTCCCTGACTGCCAGCCAACCACATGTGTTAATGAAGAGGTCTGGGATACCAACCTACTCAACCTTACACAGGGACAGAGCCGCCAAAGCAAACTCAGTGGCCCGAAAGGAAAGTGGTCCTCTCAGATCTGGAACACATGGGCACCAAGACTTTTAGAGGTATATCCCAGTTTCCTATTAATGCTGTTACAAGTTACCATACATTCAGTGGCTTGAAACAACTCAAATTTCTTATGTGACAGTTCTGGAAATCAGATATCTGAAACTGGTCTCACTGGGCTAAAAAAAAAAAAAAAAAAAAAAAAAAAATCAAGGAGTTAGCACAGCTGCATTCATTTCTGAAGACTCTAGGGGAGAATCTGTTGTCTTGCCTTTTCCAACTTCTAGAGGCTGCCTGAATTCCTCAGCTCATGGCCCTCTTCCCCCATCAAAGCTAGCAATGGCCCTTTGAGTCTTTCTCACATCACATCACTCTTCTTCCTCCCTTTTCCACTTATAAGGACCCTTGCTATTACATTAGACGTATCCTGGTTATCCAGGATACTCTCCTAATCAGCTGATTAGCAACCTTAATTCCATCTGCAACCTTAAATCCCCTTTGCATGTAACAGAACATGTTTTGTCGTCACAAGCAAGTCAAAGAACTACTCTGAGCCTTTTTTCTGTTACATAAGCATTAGGCAGCAGGATCACAACTGGAATTAAAAGATATTCAGATAACACAGGCATGATGATCTGCATTTGCAAGGGCATTGAAGAACCACTTTGGGCTAGAATTCTTTTTGTTTCTTTTCCTTTCTTCCTCTTCCCCTTCTTTGCTTCCCTTCACCCTTTCCTTGTTTCTCTCTCCTCCTTGTACTCCTCCTGTTTCTCTTCTTCTTCCACCTTTTTTTCTCCTGCTGTTCCTTTTAATAGCAAGCAAGATCCTGTCCAAAGGGCAAGATCACTCCTAGCTCCCAGGTCCTAGAGAAGAGATTTGTCTCTCAGGCAGAAACCTGAAGAACTCTGGAGAACTGCTGAGTTCCACCAATATCAGGGATGATACATTGAACACTCTAGCTTCACAGGTTAGCCTCTTCAACTCTAATGGCATTTCCCTTATTCTTTCTCCTATCTAGTCTCAAGACCATAACCAGAAATATCCATTATCCATAAGTCAACCAAGACTGAAATATTAAAATTATAAAATCCCACTAACGCTATGTATTCTGCCAGTCCTTCCAAACCTTTGTACCCAGTACTTTGGATCTTCAGCCTAGTAGGAACTTCTAGTCCCTTGATCTCCCATCTTTGGTTTTCTAATAATCAGCATCTCTCTGGGCTGACCACCTTTTCTGTCCAGTCATACCCTTTGATCCACCTCCTTAAACCAGTACATTCAACATCTCATATCTTCTTCATCAAAATCTAATTTTCTTTTACCCCACCTGCTGATTTTCTCTACTCTTTGTTTCCAAGTGCTATTGAAAAAACTCACATAATTGCATCTAATTGTGCATTAAGTCTCTCATAGAGAGACTTAATCCTCCTCAACTTTGCTTCTACTTAATGAGAAAAGGTAACAAATTCCTTGATGACCAAAGTTGGTAGCAATAAAAAAAGCCAACTACCTTTCCTGCCCACTGTAGATAGCAGAACTGTGAATCACTGCATAGTATCCAAACTACCCCTGAGCTTATACAAACATACTGCCCTTGAGGAAACACTGCAAAACCATGCAAGATTGCAGAGTTGAATGATAGCTAAGAATAGCAAGCATTTATTACATGCTGACTATATGCTTGGCTCTGTGCTAAAGACTATATGGGCATTGCTTTACTTAAACTTCATAAAAAACTTATTATGTGGGTACCATTAGTATCTTCATTTTATAGATGAGGAAGCAGACACTGAAAGGTTAAGTAACTTGCCTAGGATTAAGTGGCTATGTAAGTAAAATCAGGATGAAGCAGTAAAGTTCAGAGAAGTTAAGAGATGTAGCAAAACCACTAAGTCAATTCAAATACAGGTCTGTTTTACTTCAGGCCCCTAGTAATGTCCTCATCCACAAAGAGTGAAGAGGATTAGAATACTGACATATGGACATCATCAGAATGCCTTGGGTGGTAGTTTAGTTCATTGTAGTATTTTCCAAGTAAAAATGCAATTGTGACCCCAGATCTAAGATACCTCACAAAGAGCTCCCTCTGTGTCATTAGCAAATAAGGCAGAAAAAATGTTCATACTTTCCTAAGAAACCCTTAGGGTCACAAGGGATGGCTGAAGTTCAAGGAAAATTAGCTCAATGCATCTTTCAGAGCTTTCACTAGCATTGGAAAGACAAAATAAATTGACAGTGGCCCAAAAAACCCTGACTTGGCCCTAAGAATCACAAATGAATATGCCACAAAAAGAGACTTTACATCTGTTAATTCTGCCTAAATACCGCAACCATCATCTCATAATAATAATCATTGTGTTGAACATTACAGTTTTTAAGGTGTTTCTCCTAAGCAGGTCAAAGGGTAGAAGGGAGAAAAATCTTCATCTGACGTTATCAAGAGTAGTTAGACCTTAACTCCACCTGAAACTCAAAAAGTAGTGACTTCGAACATCATATTTAAATATTGTTGCCACATGTATTATTTTCTTTTAAATCTTTCTGCAACCAGATCTCACAAGAATTCACTCAAGTTACTGAGACCACAAAAGTCTCTTTTTTTTAACTCCACTTCCAACTTTGCTTTAAGTTTGAGATTATTTCCAAATTTTGTTAAACTATCAAATGTCATAGTCTGTTCTCATTCTTTATAATAATTTAAAGCTTGGTAGAGATGCTGTAGAAATTTTTGGAAATTAGGGAGGCCTATAATGACACGTTTATCTATTATATTCTAGAACTTAGCCAACTAAATGCCTATGTATGGTAGTTTTTGGTGCAACTGGGTAAAAGTGTCCATGCTGACAGCTGTGGATCTTACCATTATCATACTGGTCTCATGCTGGTCCTGAACCACATGGGCACTATCCCCTTTCTTTCATTCAACCTTAAAGATTAAATCTGAGTTAAAGAACAGTGTGCCCATTTTTTCCCATGGAAATGAAGAAATGAAGGATGAAATGTATCAGGGACACTTTCAGCACTACCCATTTAGCAAAAAGAAAATACTCCATTTATTTATTCAACAAATATTATTGACTGTCTACTATGTCTAGGTACTGAGAATGGAGCAATGAATAAAATAAGAGTCTCTTTTCTCATACATGCATGCGTACACTCTAGTGTGGGCTTGTGGGAGGTAGATAGAAAATAAACAAGTAAATATAGAATATGTGCTATAGTGATAAATGCAATGGATAACAATAAGCAGGCTAAGGAGAATAGGGAGTGATTGAGAGGGATAGGTTACAATTTTATATGAGGGGGTCAAGAATGGTCTCTCTAATAAGATGCTATTAGTAGCAACCTGAAGCAAGTAAGAACCTGAGCAAAATAGACATCTAGGAGAAGAATATTCTAGGCTGGGAAAAAAGTAATAGCAAAGACCTTCAATTGGGAATAAGTAGAAACATGCTTGGAGAGCCCAAGAAAAGCAAGGAGTTTGGTGTGGCTGGAGTG